TCCGTAAGTCCGATGTGTGATAGGGAGTCTATGACGTTCGGGGCCATTTGATCGCGACGTTTGATTGGGCCGTGTGATGAAGGCGGAGATCGCCTCTATGTCGCGCTCTCTCTCTCTCYCTATCTCTTTATCTCTCTTTCTGTCTTTTATCTCGTTCGTTTCACCRCGCTTGTCTGTGTCGTTCGCACAAAGCTTGCGAACGTAACTGACAAGCGCAGACAAACGAACGAGACAGAACCAACAGCGTCGTGTTCCACCACCATCGTCGTCAGTTTTCTATCAGTGCCTCTATGTCGTTCGTCTTTTCCGTCGGCCTGCTTTCGTGAATCTAGTTCCATTGGCGACCATTCGCCCCGATCAGATGGCACACTCACACGTCCACGTGGCAGGTCGTGAACAAGCGTGGGCTCGCTGATGGATGCGGGGCTCTATGCGGCAACAAAATGTTGTTGAATAGAGCCCTGCACCCATCAGCATGGCCACGCATGATCACGACTTGACACGTGGACGTGCGTGCCGCCGTGTTCAACTACCATCTTCGTCCCCGTCGTTAGTTTGTCTTCAGCGCCTCTATTTCGTTCGTCTTATGCGTTGGCCTGTTTCTTTCGCGAACGTACCTTGGGGTGCGTTTGCGGATCTCGTTCCGTTGGCGACCACTCGCCCCGATCAGATGGCACAGTCAAACGTCCACGTGTCAGTTCCTGAACAATCGTGTGCACGCTGATGGATGCGAGGCTCTATGCGGCAGCTGAAAGGATGCTAGGCTGCAATATAGCCCCGCACCCATCAGCGTGGCCGCGCATGTTCAGGACATGACATGCGGACGTGTGAGTGTGCCATCTGATCGGGGCGAGATGAAGGAGTTTAAGGAGCAAGAACGCATGCGTATCATTGGCGACCACTCGCACCGATCAGATGGCACACTCAGACGTCCACRTGTCACGTCTTGAACAAGCGTGGCCACGCTAATGGATGCGGGGATCTATGCGACAAAGGGGCTTTATGCGGCAGCAGAATGGATGCGAGGCTCCAATACAGCCCCGCGCCCATCAGCGTGGCCACACATGTTCAGGACATGACATGCGGACGTGTGAGTGTGCCATCTGATCGGGGCGAGATGAAGGAGTTTCGGGAGCACGAMTGCATGCGTTTCATTGGCGATCACTCACACCGATCAGATGGCACACTCARAYRTCCACGTGTCACGTCCTGAACAAGCGTCGCCACGCTGATGGATGCGGGGCTCTATCTGACCGTCGCCACGCATGTTCAGGAGCTGTCATGTGGACATGTGAGTGTGCCATTTCATCGGGGCGAGTGGTCACCAACGAAACGGGACCCGCGAATGCAGCCTGAGAATGTTGCGACTCGCACTTCAAGATTGTGATGTTACTTCAGATGTTTTGTTGAAGTGTTACTCGCTTGTCGTCAATTTGTTTTCTCTCTCACGAACTGCGATGTAAGTATTTCAGTCGTATGTTGTCGAACAAAAAAACTTTGTTTTCTCTCTCACGAATCGTGTCTCTTATGGATTGCACATGGACTTTTTTCTCGCATAATAAATTTTTATTGCGCTCGGTTTGTTTATTCGTTTTTCGCGTAAGTCTCGTCGTGCAGTTCGCTCGGCGTTCGGTTCTGTATCCGTAAAATGTTTATTCATTTTCCACATTTGTCGAATTTTTCACATTTTTCGCCAATCTTCCTCTCGCCGACACAAACAATTTATTCTTAAATTTCTTTTGTGTCGTTTTATTAACAGTCACATTGCGAATTCCGAAATGGACAACACCATCCGCATGATCTGCACCTAGAGAGACAGAGAGTTAAAGACAGGCTCTCTCGCTACGCATCCTCTCCTTGTCGTCGTCTCTATCGATCTTAGTCTCCCTTCCGTGTCTATGCGGGTTTTCTGCCTTTCTCCAATCTTTGTGTATCGCAGACAGTCGCTCAACCGATCTCAGGTTGGTCCCCTCCTGAGTTCAATCACAGATCAGTAGTCCGAAAACTGCTACGACAGATTCGAAGACACAGAAGGCGAACGTGAATTCAAATCTTTAAACCTTATCAAACGTCGCGTCAGCCGAACGCTTCGAGGAATCCTTCCCTTGACTTGGACATAGGACAAGACACGGAGCGATCAGATGCTCATAGGGTATTGTCGACGGCGACATGTTTGACAAACCAAGAGGACGACAGCCCACCCGGTCCATACCATCTTGTGGTGGCGCAACAACCGACGTATCTGAGCCATCCTTGTTAATTTCGGTTGCATCTGAGTCACAACCCACTAAAACTCACGGGGCGACCACTAACCGAGGCACCTCGGCGAAGTTCGGATTAATCCGAACCACACTGACGGCAAATTTGGATTTGTCACATGCTCAGATAGTATTTACAACGCCACCCGTTCCATAAAAGTGGACGACGAAATCACACCCTATCAAAAGACCGTTCCGTCTCGGATTAATCCGAACCACACCTCCGACAGGATAGGGTCCACCCTCTGCTCACADGTCATTGAGGAAAACACGCCGTGCCGATGTCCTCCTCTTGTGGTCGGCCTAATTCGGATGCATCCGAGTCACAACGTYGGTCTTTCGACTCTGCCCAGTTCGGATGTGTCCGAACTACCACGCTGTCTTTGATTCCAGAAAGCTGTCTCGGATTCATGCAACTAAAACGAGTCGAGATGGTTACGCTCGGTGGAAGAAAGACGAGCTAGAAACTTGTGCTGTGACTACAGCAAACGTGTCTGTTGTTTGGATTGGGCGAGCAACAACCAACTAAAACTCACGACGACGACGATGTCCCCCGTGATGACGCACATATTATAATGACACACAACGACAATCGCGGGGAGGTCCGTTGTGTGGTGGAGCGACAACAAAGCATAGCGCCTCGGCGAAGTCGGATTAATCCGAACCACACCGGTGGCATTTTCGGATTTACCACATGCGCAGAGGGTATTGACGATGTCGCACGGTCTGATAAACTTGTACGTCGATTGAACACGGTGTCGGCGCAGCCTGTCGTGGTCACACGTATCATGACAGCCTTTGTCGAAATCGGATAAATCCGAGCCACACGCGTCTTAAACACTCAAGGACGAAGACACACCGTGCAAAATTCGGTTGGACCCGATGAGATCTGGGGAATAACGGAAGCTTGGATGGTCATCCGCCGGTCCCCGTCTCGGATTAATCCGAGCCACATTTGCGAAGTTCAGGTTCAACCRAACCGAACCTCCGGCAGGATAGGATTAACCCAGTGCTCGCAGGTCGGTGACGAAAACACGTGTTGTAGATGACCTCTTGTGGACGACCGTCTCGGGATCGCGCTGTTCGAATTCGGATGCATCCGAGTCACAACCGTTACCGACTCAGAAGGACAAGAAAACTCGAGTTCGGTTTCGTACGGGCCGACAGGGGGAGGTCCACACCGCTTTGGAGGTCGGATTCATCCGAACTACAACGGCGGACTTTACAATCCACTTGTCGACTTYGGATGACAACGTATTTGCCTTYGTCTGCCRTATCAGCGTTCTARRGCCTTCTTGSGAGGCGTTGTTTTTCCCGGGGCAGGTGCCTATGCGACATCGCYTTTTCGACTGCGCCTGCTTCGGATGTATCCGATCTATCCCACGGTCTTCGTTTTCGAGCACTCGTTCTCTTACGGGCAGTGTAACGAGGATGGCTGACGATGCCTCGGAYTCATCCGAAACGTGCAGGCTTGTGGACCAATGTCATCTAACTATGATTGAACTTCGTTCTTTTGGAGTCCRRGTGACCGATAATAGAATACGTGCCGTGGGTCGTGGTTGATGTTGGGACGTGCTGACTGTTCTGAGTGAAYGTGGKTTCATTTCCTCCGTGTGTTTCAGGGAATGGTTTWACACGGACAMGGCCGCTCCGCTGGTGGTTCCGCCCCGCAYGGARAGGAGCGTCGAGGGACGACGTCGYTGCCGGCAAGGGAAACAAGTCRGGGAGTTGGAGGTGGGGAGGAAGAAYGATGTGCTCAAAACTTGTGGTGCGACTACAGCAAACGTGTCTGGTATTTGGACTGGGCGAGCCAGGACGGCTCCGACCCGTTGCAACCACGGTGCGGGCCGCTCTTGTTCGTCGCCGTTCGCGCCGACAGAACGCGTCTCGCAGGGTCTATCGTCCAGTGGGTCGACGATGGMGAATACAATTTCAAGTTTACGTTGAAGAAGCATTACAGAAGTGATGGTTCTGTTGACGGCATCGCAAAGGGATGCAAGGTTGTCGGGAAGATGTTCGGCGGGTACGGCTGTCGTGCGATGTCTTTGCCTCACTTTCTCCCGCTAGCGCCGGGGCACGACGAGGCCGTTCACGTCACAGATTTCCTCGAGGTCTGGGCGAAATCTGGTACCTCTGTCAGTGCCGTGGACGTCGGACCTGGAACATCGATCAGTGGTCCTGTTGGGTTCGCGGGAGG